TTTTTCAAAATACCGTAGTATTTTATTTAAAAAAAATTATTAATTACCTTGAATGAGGATTATAATAAAACAAATGAGCCTGGGTCTATTTTTGCTCGCAAGAGTTTCCATTAAGGCTTAAAATAGTATCAATAAATACATTTGTAGCGCAAAATCTTAAAAAAATCTACAGTTTTCTTAAAAATTCAACCAATTATTTATTCTAGTTTTCCATGATTTTCTTAAAATCGTCAAGTATTTAAACTAGTTTCCTGTATTAATGTGCTTACTGTTTTATAATAAATTAATAAGGCTATAATTCTCGAAAATTATTAAATAGAACTATTAAAAAGCATTTTAAAGATTTAAAAGTTAAGCTTCTCGTCGTGTGAGTTCCGTGAGCTTTTTAATAAAAGCAACCAGTGTTGTATGGCTAAAGGTGCTTTTTGTGGTCTATCTTTTCAGCTACAAACAATCAGATAAAGTTATGTAGAACATTGTGTGTTGTATAAAATTTAAAATTGATGAACCAATTGCGAGGATTAAAAGTGGGATTTAAATTTTAAAGTTGTAACATTTTTTATAGTAATTGATCCATAAAAATATGTATACAGTGTCACCTTCAATAAAGAGAAAAAAAATTTTTGTTAACTGAATATGATTTAAGCGCTGTAAAAAGATTTTGGTAACTATTTCTGTAACATTACAATAACAATTTATTGTAGTTAAAAATGTCAACTGTTTATACATAATATGACTTTTTTTCAGTCCATACTCCGAGTTACAAGTGGTTAAAACATGTATGTATTGAATAAAAAAAAGCTTTATTCAGTGTCTGTAAGACTTTAATCTAAAAGACGCACTATTTATACAGACTAAAGAATCTGCTTTATAGTTTGAACATGTATGTAGTGCAAATTTTGTCAATTTAATAACCCTAAGGTATTAATAAGTAATGTAAGTATAAGCCAAAATATATAATATATGTATATGGATAAATATTTACGTATAATTGGATGTAAGTTGTACTATACTGGTAGTAATAATATTTGATGTAATTGTACTAAAAGTACGGGTTTTATTTTACCTCCGGCTTTTTTCTGTCATAAATAGGATGTTCATAATTAGGAGATTCAGAATGCACAAATTATGTTTAAATTCTTAAATGTTATTTTAGTTATATAAAATTACGGAATGGCCTTGCTAACAAGAAGTATTAAAGTAACAATATTTATTTTGATGTATCCGAAAAAAAATTTTGACGACACATATAAATTTTTAAACGAAAGATAAATAAAAGAAATAAAAACAAATTATAAATTAAATTCAGAAAAAAAAAAAAAAATGCCATAATGAGAACTCGAAGCCTAGATTGCAAACGATCCACGAATCGGCATAAGCCTTATTGATCTTAGCTATCCGAAGGATACGAGGATAATCTTTCGAAGTCACATATGTTCATCCTCCACAGCTTGACCTACAGTTCACAGCAGTAATGATGTGTAAAATTAATAAATTAGTAATTAAAGCTGTACTATGCTTGTTTAGCGATTCATTGATAACACGTAATATATGTTAAGTAATAACGAGAGCAGCTGAAATCAAACTTTTATTCTATGTACATTTAAAAAATCACAAATGATACTTTAAAGTTGCAAAATACTGTTCCAGCAATTCTTGAATGTAACTTATAAATGTACGTATGCTTCAGATATAAGCACTTACAGTAAGTATTTTTGATGATCTGTGCTATGTAAGCATAACTGCAATACATGTGAAAACCTATAGCTTTTTGTGTATATTTAACTCATATTAGCTGTTATTTACTGGGTACTTGTATGAGTTTGCCTGTATTTACTTGTTGAAATTTTCGTAAGGATAAGTCTGATCTTAAATAGTTACGTTTACTTTTTATTTACGAAATCCGTTAATTGAAAGGATTAAAACACTTGAGACACATATTATGGATTACGTCCCATGGAAATATTTTTTTTTTTAACTTTTACACGTAAAACCTTTAAACGTGGGGAGTGCCGAAAGATATGTTTGGCATCTTAGTTCATAGCATGTCTTATATTTTTTTAATAAAATTAATCAATTATGTAATTCTTAGGTTAAAACACATAATAATAATAATTATTATTTACAGGTATCCAAGAAGCAAATGAACCGATTCGAACGACATATGAAAAATTTTTTAGACAGCAAGAGAATGAGATCAGCACGCAGAGCAGTAGATATATCTATTGAAGGGCGTAAAATGTCGCTATAATTTAAGCCTACTGATTCAACATCAACTACAAGCAAATTGGAAGACTGTAGTATACGTTTTACAACAAATCAAATTTAGGTTTTGACAAAGACATAAAAATATCTAAATATATCTTCGGTAATGAAACGTAACAATAATGGTACTACATTATCTTCTATTGTACGTTAGTGATTAAATTTTTTACCCTCTCGTATTATTTATATCACTGATTTTTGTTGTCCTCATTATAGTGCAACTTTTTTTTAGTTTTACACCAATTAAAAATTGATTTTTTCAGCTAAAGCAATGTTTTTATTAGCTTTCTTTCTATTAAAAAAAAAGGAGTGCAAAAACAAGCCTTTTGACACTTTTCATTTTTACTTGATTTCTTGTTAAATTAAATAATACTGTTCATCAGCTCTGAAATCTTATTCGCTTACACCAAAAACAGTATTCATACACATGCACGTAGTTATTTAAATTTCTTTAAACTTGTGTATCTGCTCTTACATTCTTTAAATTAAATAGTTTTTCGAGGATAACTCAATTAATCTGTTATACTAGCTCAATTGAATATATTTTGTACAATATTTTTTTTAATAAGTATTTTTAAAGATCGTTATTTGTATCCAATACTGCTATGACATTTTTTTGCTGCAATAAATTGCCTCTAGATTTATTGCATGTTTATTAAGTATTATTGTATTTTATTTTTAGAGATTTTAATTATACTACTATCCCTTCCCTACTTGCTCTTTTTTATATTAGCGCTTTTGCATCAAATATGCAATTCAGTATTTTTTCAATTCCTCTTTTATATTTATTCGGACATTGCGTATCACTCTAACAATAATACTATTTTTTCTGCGCTTTCTTTCTTTTATTGACTAATATTAGAGTTCACAATGACTCGAAGCTTTTAGCCAACGTGTTTCATTTAGATCATGTACATGATTTTTTCACACTTTAAACTCTTCTCTATTATAAGTATTCGTTGTTTGATCTTTTTCGATCATTATTACATCGTTTGTTTCATGTTAAATCTTGCTACTACTAACATTAATTAATTTTTCCACATTCTATAGATAATTGTTTCTTAGTTTATTTGACTCATATTAAACATTCACCAAGTCTACTTTTTTTGTAAGTTCCTCCCTATGACTATCTGAATTTTCTAGCTGCATGTCTGCCTTGTGATGTTTCTCTATTAAATTTTATATTTTCCTAAACTTATTACTGCAAGAAGCGTCATCTTTAAGAGGTCGTCTTCTATATCTCCATATACCTTCCCTTCCTTTACCTCACATCTTCTGAGTTTCTTATCTCTTGTGCTTATAACAGTCCGTATCATCACCCGTTCCGTTCCCAGTGCTAGTGTCCTTTTGTATCTATCTCTCTTACTTGTATGGAGGGTTACTTTTATGCTACAGGTTCCTTCTGCATCTCTCACATTATTAGAACTTATTCTTTGGTCATCTATTTGCTCCCCTAGTCCCTCAATCACCTTATTTTCTTAGATACGCTATTTATTTCTGGTTTGTGGTACTCCATTCTTAGGTTTCTCTTTTTTTCCTTGTGTTTCCTGTTGTTTGTTTTCTGTATCCTCTGTCTTTAACACCTTAAATCTTTGACTCTTATATAACTTCATTTTCCCGACACTAACTTAAATTTGAAACTTTAACTTTAAATTTGAATTTTCTCTGGTCGTATCAGCTGCACCCATTAGACTTTTTCTTTCTATCGCCAGGAATAATTGTCTTGGGACTGATGAACCTACTTTGATGAAGTATCTGTCTAGTCTTTGTGTTTCCTGTTTACACGTTTCTAATATTGATTTAAAATTCGTATCTCTAGATTTTTCTCCCTTTTTTCTTCATTTCTCTGCTTCCTTATTTTACTATTTTCTATAGAGCTATTGCTTCTTATTATCAAAGCCTAAATTAAGTTAAACATTATCACTCATTCTCGTTGTTTTGCTTCAACTTAATTTTATAAATGAAAACTTTACAGCTATTATTACTTAAAATATCAACAACAAAAAACATAAAACTGCTCTGTTGACACGTTGTTTAAGACAAAACTCATTATATTCCATTTAAAATTTAGAGAGATATGTTAAAACTTGTTATCTTAAAAATGTTTACAGTCTAAAATGTATTTTTAACGATATATGGTTACATTTTGTCAACCTCAACTTTTAACGGATTATGATAAACTTAAGCTTAAATAATTTTTCAAAGCATAGGCTTTGTTTCTATTCGTTTTATTTTGCCTGAAAGTCGCTGTGAAGTTATAGTCATTAATAAAAATAGGCAGAAGTAAGGCCGTCGGTAGGGTAGATACTAAAGAAATGAATCTCAAAAAATCATAACAAAGGAAAAACAAGAACAAAAAAGTTTTTCTTATAACCTTATTGTTTGCTTGTAATATTGAAGTGTTTAAATAATTTACTAATTAAATTATGGTAGTTCATATGACACTCTTGCGCTACACCAGATTTTTAAAAAAGGTGAAAACCGAATGAGAAATAACAAAGATAGTCTTTTTTTTTCTTCACAAATTTCAAGTACGTATATCGACTTTTGGATCACTGCTTGCCCTGAACGTCTGATAACACAATCTAGTTTCATTCAAACAATCACCGCTTTTGAACAAGAGTGTATGTGTTCTAACTGCAGTTTTTAAACCGCAATCATAAATTTACTAAATGATGGTATTGAACTCTTTATACCTTTAATTTGAAGAACTTATGTTTATCAACTAGCAAAAGATAAATCAATTTGAAAAATAGTTATCTTTCCTTCTACGTATGCTAGAGCAGCTTTTTTTTAAATTCATGAAAAATTACCAGCTACTTACCTTCAAAAGCAATATGATGCTACATCCAGTTGTTTACGGGGTATTGGAAAAAAACATACCTTTAAAATAAGCAACTTTTCCGGTGCCATTTTAACGGTTTTTATGTAAAAAAATAACTACGCATATAGCATCATCGTAAAATTTCGGGTCTCGATAAAGAAAAACACTTGACTGATCGTTTTTGTCAATCCCAACTTTCAAAAAATCTTATAACATTTAATGATTTTTTTTATAAACATCTGCTAATTTTCGTAAATAAATTAACTATTTTTTAAAGAGAATTCAATGGTATATTAAGAACCATCAAAGACGTATTCCCACTAAGTTTCAATTGTGTAAGACTTTTTTTTTTAAATCAAGAATAAATTGAAAGTTTGTTTGTCCATTAATTATTTACCAAATATAATTTACCTTGTCTCGTATTATTTAAATTTCTAAAAGTCTAACTGTTGTATTTATAATACGTTTGAAGCTAATAACAAAAAACTCCATTAATTGCGATTGTTGCACAATATATCTTTATTTTAACAGTGTTTCTCACCTCTAAAATTTAATTTATTTCAGAACAACATTTTTTGCATATAAACAAATAAAATTATCTGTGTCCTATCCTATGCGCGATTGAGTGAAAAAACAGCCTTTTTCGTCTTAATACCTCTTGCTTTTGTACTTTTACAGTTTTAAAGGAGATTCTTTAATTCTTGTTGCGGGGCAAGGGGTGAAAGTAGAGAAAACGTCTCAAAAGTTATCAATTTTCTTACTGTTAAACTATTTGTTTTTCCTACGTTTAGCACGTTAGGGAACTTGTTCTCATCACGTCCATACTTTAATAATTTTGTTGTTTTCTTTTTTTTTTTTTTTTTTTTACAATAATCGACGTGTTATTGAATAAACTTTGCAGTTTTTTTCAAAGTTTTCATCTTTGTAAAAAAAAAAAAAAAAAAAAAAAAAACTGAACTGTAGACTGCATAACTCGTCTTTCTTATGTAACAATAAAAACATTTAACTGAAGTTATTTTTTTATTTTTTTTTAAACGTCTTATACATTGCAATTTAAAAGTATCTTTGGCTGAATTAAATAACTTTTTTTGGTTCTTCTAAACTATCATTTTAAAAACTTATTTAAATCAATATTTAAAAAGCACTTTCATCAGAAGCATGAGGTAGTAGGCAAAAAGTGGTTTTCATCGGTGAAATAAGGTGACTAAAGCTCTGTTGAGCATTAAGAAGCACGACTTACTATTATTTTGTGAAATTAATTTTGTCGTGAGTTATGTTTAAAATCCTGCCGAGTATTTTTTTTCATGCATTCATTTTTTAAAACATACCCTAAAGTAACATTGAAAGTTTTTTCTTACTTTTTTTGTTAAATAAGATTTTTTTTAAACCTTACTGTTGGTCGTTTCATTTTTTAAAGTTCGCTACCAATTGTTAAACTAATATCTTAATGCCATATTATGATTCATTGGAAGCCTGCCTGCCTTAAGATGTTGTGAGTTGAGGTTCAAATCCGATTTTGCACTTGTGACATCCTATGTCATATACTTAATATTCATTATTTCGAAATACACAGCTTCGTTAAAAACTTATAAAAAGCGAATGCTCAGCGATTGTTAAACATTGAGCTGTATAGCTGCTTCTGCAATCTCGTGACATATAACTTACTTCCTTCGAAAAGAGCTGCCGTCGCAAAACTCGAACTACGCGTGCAATCTCAGAATAATCTTATATAGCGCTCATTTTACAAAATCAATTTGTACTAAATGTCTGCAAGAATGAAAACAATCAACAGTTTCAACATTTATTACTGAGAATGATCCACAGTGAATGTCATGCACAGTTTCAACATCAACTGTACGAAACGCAAAATCCGAGAAATCAGCGATTTTTACCATTGTTCGCGGTATAGTTATTGCACCACGTTTATGCTTGTGTAAATTGAGAGTAATCGGGTTAAGCTCTGATTGGTCGTTCGAATCCCCAACTTGACGTGTCCTCTGTAAATGCAAGAGTATAAAAACTCCTCGCATATAACAATATTCGCCGTTTCTCTTTCATCAAGTGCTCCTAAGTAACTATGAAGATTGAAGAGTGAGTTCTGTTGCGTCTTTTAAGCGGATGTAAGACTTAGTTCGATAATTAAGCTACGTGTTAAAAGCGTGCATTTCAAGCAAATGTAAGACTTAGTTCGGTGACTAAGCTGTGTGAGAAAAGCTCGAGCAAACCAGGCCACTGTAAACTCGCCTAAAAAGTGAACCATGAAGGAACAAGAAAAAAAGGACCGTCGACTTGGGTTCCGACGTTAAAAGCAGCAGCCTAATTATTTCCATCGCCACGAGTACTCTCGTATAGGATTAAGATCATCGTTGCAGTCAACTTTGTAAGATCTTGTGACTGCGTGCTCGCAAGCAGCGGTTAACCAGCGATCATAGAAGTAAGTTAAGTCAAGAAAAATAAAAACTTGTTAAAACATTGTTAACGCGAATCTGAACCTTCATAATTTATATTATTTGTAAAATTAATTATTTTCGGCATCACTGAATTATTAAATCATCAGATAAGGCATAACTTGGTTGTTGATTATATTTCTTCTCTTAATTAAAATACTCCAATTACTAAATTATATAAAGTGTTCTAAGAATTTATAATTTTAATTGATAGAAATATTAATTTTACTTTGATAAATAAATTATATACCAAGGAAAAATTAAATACACAACGGATGACAAGGACCTTACAAGGACGTAAGATAAAGAGACGAATGAAATACGCTACGACCTTATTACATCAGATAAATTCAAACAGTAGGTCAACGCCAGC